AATACCTTTTTACTATTTTACGGATTCCACTAGTCACCTACCCCGCTTATGACATATTACATGTAACCCCTATACCTATACTCGATCATAGCAATATTTTCGCTTTAGCCGATATTAATTACTTCACGATAGCAATCGACAAGGACGAACATACATATATGATATTAACTGAACAAGATCTAGATAAATGTGCACAATCCCAAACCACATATGTAAGTGAACAAAATAATCCGGTATATCAAATAAATTCCGAATCACCGTACGAAATACAAATATACGCGCGATCACAACCATTCGTACAAAATCATAGCACAAAATATATTAGTACTAATTGTATGATCATTATTCCTTTGAAATATTCACATTCATGGTTATACTCGACACCCTGCGAAAAAACAATTTCTATATGTCTATATATTCTATATCCTATATATTCTATATTCTTGTCCAAAATTCAAAAAATTAGCCAAACTTATAAGATCAGGATTGATAAAAGCACACCAGGAATGTAAGTTCACAATTGACGACATAACTCTAGCTGCTCCTGGTACGATAAAGGAAAACACAATTCCAGCATATTTACCTGATTACAATCTAACCTTTCTAGGAACCAAATCACTAGTAGAGGAATACAAGAACAAAATACCACAATTAAATCTAAAAAAAATTCCACATCCTGACGAATTATTAAAATTAAGTACCAAATTAGAACATATAAGTCTAAATTTAGAAAGCAGACAAAACCCATTATTTATGCACAGCTACATCATTTTCCCTACGATCAGCTGCATAATTATTTTAATAATAACAATCTCCACCATATGGGTCATTGACCAACTAAGAAAACGCAAACGCAGTAACCCATCGACATAAAAAAAAAAGGAAAAGGGGACCTAGCATTAACATGACACGATTGTAAGAAAAAAAAACTGTCACCGGGAACCCATATAATTGTATCTATCTGTATAATTATTGTAGTTATTTAATGCGAAAACGTCGTGCCTCCGTTTTCTTTTCCCAATAGGGGGAGGGTGTTGTAACCGCGTCCTAATTATTCCACCATACGCTGCAGTTAGTTAGTAAGCACGCCTTACACAATTCGGTTAGAGTGCTGACACCATAAAGTTTTAATACATAAACTTGCAACTCTGCTGACTGAGATCACGAAAGTAGGTTATTGTGTCAGTCATACCAAAGGCACCAGGATATATAAGACTGGAGCCGAAAAATGAGCAGATAGATAGATAGAAGATTGAACCGAGAACTGAGTATCTCGTTAGTTACGTATTAATCCGGATCCGTCATTCCACGCTAGTACGTAAGCGCAAGTGTAAGGAAGAACAAATAAACACCAACTTCTTTTGTACGACCGACTACTTCTATCTCGCCTGGACCAGCGAAGCTCGGGATCCCAATCCCTAAGACCACGAACGAATCCGAAACTTAACCGGCCTTAGTGCATTAGGCGCGAAGGCCACGACATAAGTTAGAAACAGCGAAAATATTTTAAGTCCGAAACAGCAAAAATATTCTAAGTTAGAAACAGCGGGAAATATCTTAATTCTAGACACAGAGAGCTTACCTCTAGATTTGGGAAGGAAGTGTCGTATCCGAATTTTCACTACACCGACACAAAAATCCTGCAGGCACTATAGGCACAGCACGCACGAACCGAACTCGAGATCTGGACTCTCTGAGGAGTATTGCACAACTGCCTGTAGACTCTGCTGCGCTTCCTTATATACTGTGGTAGTTCGACTTTTGACTGTGAGAAAAGGACGCCACCTTTCGGCGGGGTTCGTACTAAGGCCTTGTAGCGGGTTTTCGGCTACGGGTCCTAGGGATTAGTTAACGGGTCTAGGAATTAGTTAACGGGTCTAGGGATTACCTAACGGGTCTAGGGATTAGTTAGCGGATCTAGGGATTAGCTAACGGGTCTAGGGATTAGGTAACGTGTCTTGGAATTCGTTGTGCGCGCCACGTGGAGGAAGAGGAACTACTGTCGAGCTCTCAGTCGATAAATGGATATTCGAAAAGCGTTTTCTAGTAGAGTTTACTTGTCTTTGCGTTATTTAAGCAAACATTTCGTGCTGGATGTGACACCTCCCCCCATAAAAGAAAATGTTGGTCGCTCTGTACCGACATTTTCCTTATATAGAACGCTTCTTATATTCTAGTTACCGCAGTGCTTAAATATTTATTTAATTCGTCATATTCTCTGGTAAAATTAGTATTGGTCCGTTCGTTACGAAGTTCACTCACTTCTAAGTCTTTATTCCCGACATCGTTGTGTTTAGGCTGCACTAACACCTCTGTTACTGGATCGTCTGTACTAGCCTCTTTGTTGCTTTTGCGTCCGCCCAGGTGGATGAGGTGCGTCATGGAGCTCCATATTGCTCCTATAAGGTGGATACTCCATCCGTGGGTAGAATGTGTGACGTAACCTCTGATAATGGAGTCCATGACCAGCTTGATGAGTCGGATTGTCAGGAATATTGCGAGGATGCCTGCACTGGTCGAGCCAAATGTTATGAACCCGTTTCACAGTCGTGCTCCGGTGCTCTCAACGATTTTCTCCAAGGTATCTTCGTCTAGCATTTTGTAGAGTGATATTGTTCCGGCGAGGATGCTTCCTTCCAGTGCTCCGTGTGCCAAGGTATTCAGTAATGGCTGCGTTCAAAAAACACAACAGTTGTGCAACTGTTGAGTGAACGCTGTCTGAGCGAGGATCAGTCTTCTGAACGGACTGTTTATAGTTTAAAAGGGCGGAATATTCAAGAAGAACACATAACCTCTGTATGCTTAGTATGATTAGTCCGACCAAAAATATAAAATGTATAACAATTTAATCATTTTTGCGCTGTTAGATGATAATATAGAAGGCAACATTTTAAGATATATTATCGAAGAACTAGAAGTGCCATTGCTAAATAATTTTCGTATCGGAAGACGTGGTATACGTCAAAAAAATAAAAATTATTATGAGCGTATAGTTCCATTATACAATGGTTCTATTTTTAAAGAACATTTTAGAATGTCTCCTGCAACTGCAGAGGTATAAAAATATAAAATAGTATTTTATTAAGTAGTGTAAGTCAATACTTATTTTAATACATAATATAATTTGTTATAGGAATTAGTTAATATTATTGGTAATGCCATGATACGGAATCAAAATCGTCCGATGGAATTAAAGAAAATAGTTCTTTTTATAATTTGGATTTTGGCTAAACAAGGAAGTTATTTTGCAGTAGGAGATAAATTTGGCATCACAAAAAGCACAGGTCATGCTGTTTTAAAGGAAATAGTGAATGCAATAATCCAATTGATGCCCAATTTTATTATATGGCCAAATAGGCAAGCATGTGAGATCTCATCTACTGTAAGTAATTATTAATAACATTTTTTCCAGTAGCGATATGTTTGTTTTCATTCCTGTATATATATAAATAAGTGATATTTAAAATATTTTATATAGTATTATGCAGTCAGTGTTATATATGCTAGAACATATTCATTGGAAATTAAACAATTTTCAATATATATGTACACATTAGGTCAAAAGTATTATAATAAAAGTTATTATGATTCTATTATTTTATAAATAGAGTTATCAGTTACGCAACTTTGCACATTACCATTAAGGCTGAAAATTGTATAATTCTCTGTGTAGGTAATAGCGTAATATATATAATTCTAACTGCACATAATATTTCTACAGATATTAAATATCATAGTATAATTAAATACTTTCCGATATTTGAACAACGTTCACATGGGTTACCAGGTGTTGTAGGTGCAATAGATGGTTGCCATATTGCATGTAAAGCACCTCCTAATAATGCCAATGATTTTTATAATAGAAAAGGCTTTTTCTCGATAATTTTACAAGGCATGTTTAAAATATTAGATATTTAATTAATATTTATCATTGATTCTTTTAAAATGTTACTTGCATGTTTTATATTTTTATTTCATGTAATGTGACAATATATTTGTATTACAGGTATATGTGATGAGAGAGCCCGTTTTGTTAATATTTATGTAGGATTACCAGGATGCAGGACGAATGCATGATGCTCGTATGTTTAGATATAGTGAGGTATATACACAATTGACAAACATTGAGAATCTTCTATTGTCACCACATCTATATCTAATTGGAGATACAGCTTATCCTCTGCTAAAAAATTTAATAACGCCATATAGAGATACTGGCCATTTAACAAGGGCACAAATAACTTATAACATTAAATTATCTTCTATTCGAAATATAATAGTACGAGCTTTTGGGCTTCTAAAAGGAAAATTTCGGAGACTTCATTTCTTAGATATTAGCGATTTCGATCTTGGCAATAACATGATTACAGCTGCATGCATATTGCATAATTTTATAATTAACAGAGGAGAAGTGGCATTTGAAGAAAACATACAGATAGAAAATGAGTTAATAGCAGGAAATGATGATGAACTGTATGGAGAAAATAATGTTTCTGCAATAATAAAAAGGGATAATATTGCATTTATTACAATATAATGCATTTATTTCAATAAAATAAAATCATATTTCTTAATAACATATTTTCTTTGTAACAGTGTACGTATCATAACAGTGTAATATATACAGAATGCCATCTTATATATATATATATATATATATACATATATGTAATATATTACTCTTCTTATATATGTATAAAACAAACTCTTTTTAAGAAATAAAAAATAAATGAAAGTGTACGTTCTATGCTTACAAGTTTTTTTTAGTCTGGTACTTTTGTAATAAATACAGTTCTTAAAAGTTCCTAAAAATAAAATTTTGTAAAAAAAAAGATTTTGCGAAAACGTTTATTCTTTGTACTTTATGTAATAAATATTAAATTAAAAAATGCCGCCAACAAAATAAAATAAGTTAGTTCGTAACAAACGAGAAATAAAAAAAATTGCATCTTTCTTTCCCAAGAATTTGGTTTTAGTCTTCAATTCTCTTTATAATATATTTATCTATGTAATAATAATTCTTTTATGAGATCATTCCGTTCTTTTTGTAACTTATTGTTTTCATCTAATAATTCTTTTAAATGTTTAATTGCTTCTATTCTTTGTTCTTCAATTTCTAATTGCTTTTTCCTCATATTATATACACTTTTATTTTTATTTTTATTAATGTTCAAAGTAGATTTATGTGTTGAGGCTCTTGATGAAGTACGTGATACTGTAGGTGATTCTGTTAGCAATGAATTAATATCATCATTTACTAATATTGTTTCAGAGGTATTGTCTGATTCTTCCGTAATATATGTATGTGATATATTAGAAGCTAGTGTTTGTAGTGCTTGTCTGTTTTGTGTATAATCTTTATCTGCTATTGATTCGGCCTGGCTTAAAGTAGAAGTAGAAGTTCCTGGAATATTTATACGTGACTCCAATGTAGCTCCATGGTTAATTGTACGATCTTCAGCAAAAAGGTTTTCAAAAATATCATAATACTCCCAACTGATGCATTCTCGTCCTGTCGTACTTTTCTTATTTTCTTTTATTGTCTTATACGATCTCTTCATATTTCTCATTTTCCAATCAAGTATATCTACCATATTTTCATTTGTGTATCCATTTACTTTTAAGACTTGTGCAATTTCCAGCCACAATAATTTCATTTTTATTTTTGGATTTCGAAATTGTTCTTTTCTCTCTTTATATGATTCAAGAAATAGTTTGGTCGATTTATTATTCCACTTAAAATTATCCTGTACTGTTTCTAAAAATAATAATTATTACATAATATTTATTTATAAGAAAATTCAAATAATTTTTAACTTTATAGACATATTATAATGTAACTAAATTCTAACTCACATTTTTTCCATTTTCATTATTAGGTATGTGTGTCAATCATATCCCAGACAGCATAAAATTTTCTAAGGACATCCCAGAGATGTCTGAGGACGAAGAAACATCCCGGGGTCATCCTCAGGACATCCCTGTGGTACGATTATCTAACTCGTTACTGGAGTTAACGATAGTTTCGTTATCGTTGCGCAGTTTTTGTATATCGTAGAAAAGCTGTGCTACGATAATGTTACGTCCTGTAGATTTAATTAGTAAAAATTCTTTCCTCTCGCGGATTTATATTCTCCTAATATAACTAAAATAGGAATATATACATATATAAATATAAATTAGGAAACAGACCCATCTGGCGAACAGCCGTCGCGCCAAATGAAAGGCGATTCGGGAAAATTCCATATGAAACAGTGCCCTGTTGTAAAAATCTACGTCTTCGTTTAAAGTTTATATCTGGATAGTGTTCGCCAAGTGTGTCCGTCGTCCCAGCTATAAAAATTTGAAACTCCGCGCTAACAAACCTTCAGTGAAACAAAGCAACTCAGAGCATTCCTGCTCTAAAACTTGAAACTTACATCTTCCCAATCCAAAACCATATGTGCCCTATCAGTCAACCAACAAAGCCTACTTCACTGATAGTCGTAAAATTTGATCCCAGCCTTTGATTTACGGCATTTTGATTTTTCCAGCCGGCCACTTGTATACATTTCTCTATCTCAAGAATCCACCACCTCCACGCTTGTCGCGCCTAATTCATTCAGCCAATCATATATCCACCTAAAACTATGAGACACCCACGCTCCACCCTTTAGCCCTTCCATATTCATATCTCCAAAAACTAACTGTCTCCTCCCACGATGTCTTTTAACTTTGCTAATGGCTGAGACTTTTTCCCACTAAGACCAATTCACCCCTTCCTCAAAGGCCATCTCTCTACCCACCCTGATAGTTTCTGCCTCCGATTATCACTATAAAAACCGCGGTAATCCGCCTCCGCGACACTTCTACTTCAACTTCTACCGTTACTTCTATTCTGAGAGACAGAAAGAACAGATTCACATAGATTCTAGTTTCAAAAATCAGACTTGTAAAAACACGTCCTTAGACTCAAATTCGTCTTCGGTTTTGTTTCGGTACTACATATTCTTTTACGTCCTCTGTGTTATTTTTTTATTTTTGGGACCAAAAAAAATTAAAAAGTTTGAATCACTGCTATTGTGCCATAATTGGACAATTGGAAGGGAGTGGACGAGCACAACGTGACCTATCGAGCAGGAGCTACCAAACATCAATTTTATTTTTGCTCACCTTCAGGATAACAGGAGTCAGCAGTAAGTTCTGTTTTTTTTTGCTTCTACCTTTTCTACCACCATCTTATTAATTCCTCATATTATTGAAATCCGTTTTAGTGGGTCATTATAACAACATAGGGATAACCCTCCACCACGTTTTCCGAACGTTCGAGGAAGCTTTTGATATTAGCGATCCAGATGAACTTACGTCCCAGATCCACTACCTCCGAGCCATAGTTAATATAGCGTTAGGAATTGATTATCACCCGGATCCTACACTCCTATCCCCTTACCTCCTTCCTCGTTTTTCCCCTGATACTCCGCCTTCTTCTCCTACACACGCGTCCCCGCCTTCAACCCCTTCGATATCTTATTCACCAGTTTCCTTCTCCGAACTATCCACTCCCTTAAATTCACCCGACCACTCACGCTCCCCCTCACCCGACTAATTCTTTACTCATATTCCTACCTTTTTTTTATTATTTCCTCCTTCTTTCACTTCTCATACATACACACATACACATACACAGTCATTCCTCAACTGTATTAAACCGCGCCGTAATTCATTTTGTTATTTTAATAAATCTGTTTATATTTCATTCTTTTTCCAATTGATTTCAAAATCACATATACCCTTCCAACAGTCAACTCATGGTCCTATCCCCGGTAAAGGGATTCGCGTCCCTGACCGAAAAACGGACCACTCGTCGTACGTCGGTGCCCGAGTAAAGGGACCCGTCGGGTCCCTGACCCGTTCACTGACACGCGTGTACGAACGAGGTTCGCCTTACTCGCGAACGAAAGGGTTGCGTTCCTCCTCTAGGACGTAACATACCAAAATTTTGGGGGCTCGTCCGGGATGATAAGAGTGACTGTTGAAAAGGGGTATGAATACGCGGTCTAAATCTGATAAAGACGAGGTGGAAAAAACTTTCCGCGGAGCTGTCGAGAATACACCACTTCGTCGTCCTCGCGAGTTAGAATCATCGGAACAACCTCAACATACATCTACACCATTCGTGCCACACAACCAACAAACTACCACTAATACCACTGAAACATTTCCTGCTCCTATATCTGACGTCGATACTTCAACTATCCGGAAAATTTTGAGTGATAGCCCACTTTCTCTCAGCGCATTTGGTATAACTCATTCACCTCAAAGAACTAATAAACCCCCGAGTCCTATCGCAGAAGTATCTGTCGAAGAAACTAGTTTTTGCGCTGAACCTACGCGGTATAAATCTTTTGATAATTCCTTATATTCTTTCCGTCTGGTTGTCACAGAAAGTGAAATTGATCCCAGCAGTAAACTTACGGTAAAAGATCTTACGGAACAAAGCAATCATAGAGAACAATCTAATTTAGAACTTATTACAACCACAGAAACCATGAACGATAACGTAGTAACAAATAACTCTTCCGCTACTTTACGATATGCCGTAGAGGCTGTTCCTTTCTTTGATGGTCAAAATCTACCTGTAGAATATTTTATAGAAGGATGCGAATTAGCAAAGTCCATGTTACCGCCCGAAAACGAAAAATATTTGACTAAAATAATTCAAACTAGATTAACTGGCGACGCTCGTCATTCTGTACAAGACCAGGATTTCTCGCGGATTAGTCAGTTAACAAATTTTTTGAAACATGTATACGGCTCTTCTAAAAGCTTAATGCAATTACAAGTTGAATTAGGACGAAATTACCAACGGGCCGATGAAACGGTACTCACATATGCAAACAGAACGAAAGCAATAGGCAAACGTATATTAGAAGCACACCGAACCACGAATAACGGAGCAATTGATCGCTCTTATAAAACATCATTAGAAAATGAATTGGTTCACAGTTTCATCAGAGGGCTGAAGCCTGAAATAGAGCAAAGAATTGCCAGAAATTTAGATGTAACCGCAACTGTAGAAGAAGCTTTAAGAATTGAAAAAGAATTACGGGACATTTTCGAAATACGTGGGTTGCAAGGTTTTCAAGTCAATACAGATTTATGTCAAATATGTAAAAAATCCGGTCACACAGCAGATAAATGTAATCTAATATTACAAAATACAACAAGATCCTTGGGGACCGAAATCTTAGTCTGCCAAATTTGCAAAAACGGGGCCATAGTGCAGATAAATGTAGATTCCGAGAAACTATCGGACAAAAGCCGGTAAAAATTGTACAAAGCGATTTCGTCTCATGCCAAATATGCTCTAAACCCGGTCATACTGCTCAAAATTGCCGTTCACTTAATAATCAGCAGGTTATATGCCAAAATTGCCAGAAACCTGGTCACGTCTTTAGAGATTGTAGAGGTAATTCCTCTAATTTTACTAATATTATTTGTCAAATGTGCAATAAACCAGGTCATAACGCGAAGAATTGTTATTCAAATCCTAATCGGAATAATATTCCTAATAACGAAGTATGTCAATGGTGCGGGCGACGTGGACATCAAGCATCTCAATGTAGAGAAAGACAAGTTATTAATAGAAATTCTCCGAGAAATAACATCCAAATTATTTGTCAAATCTGCAATAGAACGGGACATAGTGCTCGTAATTGTCGCGAAAATCGGTCATCGGAAAATACTTCCAATTCTACAACACAAGATTTAGCAAATCAATGTAGATATTGCAAGGAAACGGGGCATACAATAGAAAATTGCATTTTGAGAATCGAAAATAATCGTAAGAAACAGGGAAACTTTCAAGGGTCCCCGACGGCGGGCGCGAACCGGGGAGCCGACGGATCGGGGCGCCCAGTGATGACTGCACTAACAGAAAACACAATAATCGAGCTCCAATAATTAGACCGGTAGAAATTAATTTGAATAAAGAAAGCTGCGTACCTACTGTTCAGTTAAGTTTAAATGGAAATAGTTATTTTGAAACTTTCATGTTAGATACAGGATCGGGACCCAACCTTATTAAGGAAGCTCGCATTTCAGGAACTTCAGACTTAGATTCAACGCATATATTAAAATTAAACGGAATTAATAATTCACCCGTGTACACTATCGGAAAAATTACTAAGATAATTTTGGGAATTCCTGTTGACTTTCATGTAATTTCCGATGATTTTCCTATTCAATCTTGTGGGATATTAGGCAACGATTTTTTTCAACAAACTAAAGCTAAAATTGATTATTCAAAAGGTTACTTAGAAGTCTTAACCACTAAAATTCCTTTTTATTCACAAGAATCTGTAATAATTCCTGCGCACTCTAAAGCATTGTTTTTCGTGCGCATCGGAAATCCGCATATTAAAGAGGGATATTTACCCAAGATAACTATAGGAAAAGGTGTAGAAGTAGAATCAACCGGCTTAATAAAGAATATTGACGGTAAGGCTTACACTAACGTAATTAATTCTTTGAATACTGAGATAGAAATATTAATACCAACTATCAATGTACGACCCGCGATTTTAAAGGATAACGAGAAGGATAACGATATTAAAGATGGAAATATTGAGAATAATAGAGATAACGAAAAACCTAAAGATAAAGGGGAATATATTCTTGACCGCGAAGAAAGAGAACCACGAAATGCGGCATCATGCGACGGCCAAGGTACATTTAATTATATACATATTAACTCACCGGAGGAAAATCTCGCAACCCCTGTCGAATCAAGAAATGTTGAAAACAAAAATTTTGAAAAGGGGAATCAATCTCAACTTCCCCGCCTAGTGACGAAAATTCAGAATAAGAAGCAAGGAGCGACCTTCCATGCTCCTATTAAACAAAAAGAAAAATTTAATCAACAAAAAATATTCGAATCGACTCTTCTTGTAGGATTAGGCAAAGACTTAGATAAGAT